AGAMCACCATTTCATTATTATCTCACARGTAGAAGTTYCGTTATTAGAGAATTACCTTAGAAAAAGTAACGTATAAACCAAATATACACATATCTATGTATGTATAATATAATCGCCACATGACGGAGTTTTAATTTACTTAACTATCGTTTCAGGTATTTTGCACGAAAGACAAACCAAATTGCAATGAATGTTCAATGAGAGGAGCATGCATATATTTTGCTAGTGTATTTGTAAGGTGTTACAACGTTTTTCCTTACAACTTTTAGTACAAATATGATGAAACTATTTATATTAAAATAAAAATGAATAAAAGGATTACAAAAATATAAAATTGGTCAAACATAAAGTAGCTCTCAATTGGTATAGAAAGTCAGTTACATTTTACTTGTTTTACAATGCAAGACTTTATCAGCAAACATAGTTACATGTTGTGAACTAGTCATTAAAGAAACCGCATGACCATAGCCAGAACGTGTACACGTATCAATAGCTGACATATATGATGCATTTTTTTTAGGATTCTGAAGAAGTTGTAGATATTGCTGAAGTTGCTAATATTCCAATGGCTATGCTCAAGAAAATCACCGCACTAAGTATTGAACACCAAGTGTATGTATCTATTTTCTCACTTTTCGTCGTTTTGTTAGTTTGAAATCACCTCGATAACACTTTCTATCAATTATCAAAACTTATGTTTACATTAAATCATTATGTTTTGGACCAAACACTTACTCACAAATTGGGAAGAAGACAAACTTCCAAATATTTTGCAAGTTTTAACATAAATAATTACATAAAAATGCAAAGACATTAAGAATGTTGGTTAACTTAACTTTAACACTTTGTTCTTTTTCTTGTATTTTTGCAGTTATATACTTCAAGACGAGCATCCGCTTCTAGAGATGGTATGTCAAATAAACAGATATTATAACATATTTTAAAGTGTCCAAACTTAAAATCTTATCAACTAACTATTGTGTCTGTTTTGGCAGTTAGAGTTGGACATCAGGTTTGTAGGAATTATTGAGTGACTTTAAAATCTCTTAAACTATCTACTTATATTGGTAAAAAAAAATTTGTTTTATAACTATGGTTTAAACTAAGTGAGACAGCTAGGTGCGTTCAACCAGCCATTAGCAAATGCATTTTTCATAGAATCGGTGAACTTTGTGTTGAAGAGACTTGTTTCTCATGTAACAACATTAAGGAAGTGAAATAACAGGCTGTGAAGGGGAACATCTTAGTAAGAAATTGCATTCATCTCATTTTATTCTTATTATACTCATAATGTTTTTACAACTTATTGTAACTAATACACTATAATTTATTTATATATCTTGTAAAACTGCAAAGAAGGGTAAATTCCCACTCAATGGAACATACTTCCAAGTTAATAAGGTTACACTTCAACTTTCATATGTTTCATTATCTGTATTGGAATTTTTAAGTTTTTTTTATTATTTTAGGTGTTTGCAGATCATGATTATTGAAACAATCCGAACCGTTTTTTTTTAATATTGGACCCGGATTAACATTCCCATAAATGTTAATCCTCAATATCCAATCAAACCAACAATCAACCACCAGCGG